TATTCTTAGTAAAAACATATATTAAGTTTTAATCCAATATTTTAATTAGGTTATCAATCCATCGAGAGCTAAAATAAATTAATGAAACAAAGTTATTTTTAACTTTTTAAGTGATTGATGCACTCAAAAACACATTACAGGAGATCAAACATCCGTAGTAACATTTTCAATATATCATAGTAAATTGATTTAAATCGTCATTAATAATCGTCCACTCAAACTAGAGTAGTATATTAAAATGATATTGCAGTTTTTGATTATTGAAAAAATATTATGTACCTATTATACGAGTTTTGTCAGTATGACAATAATTAAACACCATYCACTAACATTGCTTGAACTAGACTGATAAATAATGATTAACTGGAGATTWCATAATGCATTCTTCAGTATAAATTCTTAAAATACATTTTTTTCAAGATTTAGTTAATTTTGGTGTACAAAATGTTCAATAATAATAAATTTTTGGTTGGAGATGTTTTAAAATTTTTTAGTCTTTCGATCGATTTTAGTAATTCGAAAGATGATTATCACAATATAATTCAATTAAAAATAATATTTGATTTCTTTAATATAACTATAATATATTATATATACTTAATACTTATGTTATACAAAAAAATGATTACTTACTTAAGAAAACCGTTTTTCTAGGATTATGCCAAGAACAAAAGCAAAACGGTGAAGGATTCAAATGCCCAGAAGAATTCGGGTACTACCCACATCCAAATGATTGTTCCCAATATTATGTTTGCGTATTTGGAGGTGCTCTTTTAGAGTCATGTACTGGAGGTTTGATGTACAGGTAAACTTTTAATTGTAATACAACGGTCCAGTATATACGTATATTTGTTTATAAAATTATAACATTATATACAATTAACAATCACAGATTCCGGAATCCAAAAAACTGTAGTTACTATTTCGCAACATTTATACTTTTATATTGTATCAAATACGAATGCATAAATGTGATATACCACTTTCACACGTCACACATCAGGCATATAATATTATATGACGCAATGTTTTTATTTTTAAATACCATTTGTTCATTAACCAAACTCGATATTATTTAAAAAATTATATTAGATTATTGCACGCGTGTGTGAAGTTCTTTTCAATTAAAGACACCTGGCCTCGGCAATAGGGGTACTATATAGGACACACGACACACGACAACGGTTGCGCGTATTTTACATTAATGTTACGACGTGATTATGTTGCTGCTCTCGTTTATGATCGGATTATAGATTTCAATTAAAAATAAATAAAATTTAACGACCCATAATAATTCAAAAGTTATTAGACTCTGTGATATTTCATTATACATAGGATATTGCGTAAAATTACATAATAATATTTTTTTATTGTGTTATTACTTATTTCTATCGTTTCATCCTGCTTCTTTTGAAAAATCACGTCATCAGTGACATATATGTATATGCCTAAATAATATAATATGATATTTGTTTCCTTTCATTTATTTTCATACATTTTACAATTATTATATTCTATACCACATGTAATGTAATGCTATAATAATGTAGCCATTTGGGTACAACCGTAAAATAGAGTTAAATGTCATTAAAATTTACCAATACAATTGTTTATAACTAAATTAATTAAAAGACAAATAGGTAGGTAATCATTTTATATCGAATGATTATTTTGTTTACATTTCAAATACACTTACAAAATGTATTCAGGGTGACTTAATTTGTTACCTAAAATAAAATTAGAGCATTAGAAATTTTAAACACGTTTATTTTGGGATAGGTATTGGAAATTGATATTTTTTGTTTTTAAATATAAATTGRACCTAATTTTTAAGTCTGTTTAGAATATTTTATTCATTAATTTGAAAATATAGTTGTGCAAAATAGATTTTGATTTAGGTAGTAGATTTCTGTCAAGATTATTTCGACGAATTCTAGTAGATTAGTATAGTACCTATATTATTAGTATCATTATAGTCGGTTAGTACACTCTGTTCAGTTTTCCTATGCCTACAATTGTTTTAGAATACTCCTATTCAAAAATATCGTTTAATTATAAAATAAAAAAATAAATATACATATTTTGTTAAATGTAAAATTTTGTTGTCMTCGTGATCATTATTGGGTCAATAGTATAAAATATAAATCATAAAAAAGGATAGGATATTTTTATATAAAACTACGAAAACATCAAACTCTTGATTTAATTTAACTTATGTATAATCGTGGTTTACTTACCAGGTACGTCAAAAATCGTACTTATTTTAATTAAAATAGTATATAATTTTAACGATAAAACATTAATGAAATCGTTTAATCTATAATTTCAATTATTTCAGTATAATGAATACTGTATATTCTATTAACTATATTCTATAGCAGTATATATTTTATAATGCCAACATATTATCCCCGACTGGACTGTTAATGAAATAAATAACCATTAGGTGAAATATTAAAAAATCATATTAACTTGTTTTGTATAATCATATTCTTAAGATAAATTCAATGTATTGTTAACAAAGTGATCAAATACAAAAATCTTGTATATAATTATAGTCACGAGCTACAAACATGCGATTGGCCTCGTAATGTAGGATGTGGTGCTGAGGCTACTGCTACCCAACCTGATAACCAAGAAAACGCATTAGCTTTGGCTCGATCATCTGATCGTCAAAGGCATCCATCAGCGCAACCTCAAAGGGCTACTCCATCTATATTTAACCAACGCCATCAAGTTCAAGACCAACAAGTCAATGAACAACTTGTGAAACAACAACAATTATATGAAGAAGAAGACTTCAGAGCAATTGAAGATGACAGTGATAGACAACAAAGAGTATATAGAGGTCAACCTTCCACATTGGGTCAAGTAGCTAGAGACAGAGATGGAATTTCTAAACATAGAAATATTATACCGGTAACAAATACTAAAAAACTAAAAAATAAAATATAAAAAATAAAATAAAATAAAATACTAAAAAACTCACTACGTATTAATATTTCAAGTTTTAATGATATTTTACAGATTTAAATAAATTAGTTAATAACTAAACATATATGTATTTTTATATTTTAGCAATTTGCAGGTGTAGAAAAAAACAAACAATTTCAAATACCAAATCAAAATTACAGGTTAGTGCTTTTTTTTTGTATATAACATATATACTTAAAACTAATGAATACTTATACAGAACTTTTAATACTTAACATTTTGTTTGTACATAATATATACATGTTGCAACAGAAACGATACGAGCAAAAACAATGGTAGACAACGTCTTAAACGACAGACCCGACAGAGGTAATAACGACTATCACACTTTGTAGAACCAACTTAAGCACTGTTAATACCAATTACCATCAATATTAAATAAAATAATATTGAATATTGGTAGTAATAGTGAAGGGAACAACTTGATACTGTGTAATTTGTATGATGACACCGTTGTTTTTATTAAACATTAGCTTCAGCGGAATGACAAGACCAAGACCAACTGAGATGACGATGTCAACAACAAATTATGCTTTGCGCAAATTACCAAAACACTATCGGATCGTTCCCAGACCTACGTCATATGTACCTATAACAAATACAGACAACTCGAGACAACGTAAGCGATGCCTGTACGAATCAAAATTATACCCAGGACTCATGATCCCGTGTCCTACTTCGCGATATCGAATGCCTCCTTATCGCCAAAATCATCAAGAAAATGATGATGTTTATGATCAGGTAGACGATGAAAACCCGGGGACAAATGAAGAAATTGAGGATAAAGGGGATTATCCAGAAAATCACGATAACCGCGAGAATCAGAACCAAGATGAATACGAGGAAGAAAACCCAGTACCACTAAATGCTGATGAGCAATTTGAACAGTTAGTAACTAGAGTAAGATGTAAGGGTAAAAAATGTACACAAAATAGTAATCATAAATACAAAAATGATGAAAATGAAAGTCAAGAAAATGAATATGAGAATGAAAGTGAAAATGAAAATGAAAATGAAAATGAAAAAGAAAAAGAAAAAGAAAATGTAAATGAAGAAGAGGAAAGCCAAGAAGAATCTCCTGATTCTAAAGAAGAAGAACAAAAACCTTTACCTAAACCAAAACCTAAGCCAAAACCTATTCCCAAACCTAAAGGAGTTAATCCCAACCTTCATCATCCTTTAGCAATAATTCATAATTACCAACCGGCGAATTTTACAAGGATTAAAAATAAAAATAAAAATGGAGAAACAGATGTAGACAAAAATAACAAAAATTCCGAAGAAGAAGAAGATGATGATGGTGAAGAAAATAGTCAAGAAAGTATACTTGAAGATTTAGAAGAATATACTGAAGGAGATGACTTACAAGATGATGAATATTACTATGATGACGAAGAAGAATATGATCAAACACCAAAGAAACCCAAAATACCTCAAAAATTAATTAATATAGATGATATGAAATTCAAAGGAGAAGGAGATGAACCTTCAGAAAGTATATCAAAAAATACTATATTAAAAAATGTTTCAAAAACGAACGATTTACATAAGCCACATAATTTGGAATCTACTCAAATACCATATAGGCCAAAGCCTTATGATTCAGCTGCAGAAGCTTACACTCGGGTAAAGGACAAAAATAAACCCCAAGACCAACAAGTTATGCAAATGACTATTCATGAAACTACAGTTGCTTTAAATTTAATTGAAAAACAAAATAATAAATACAAATTTCCAACTAAGACTGACACAACAACGATACCGGCTAAATATAAGCCGAGACCAACTATCCGACCAAACATTTTAAAAAGGTGAGACTTTTACTAGGTATGACTTAACATGAACACATTTTAGGCGTTCTTAAATAAAATGTATCACGTAAGTAGAAAAATTTGTTGGCAAAACATTTTTAAACGATTTTTACTAATAAAGGACGCCTAATTCAACGTTTAACTTTACTAAAACTTAAATTTTTAAAAACTATCTTAGTAGWTTTAGTAAGATTTCAACTTGTTACACTTATTATAGTAGGTATACCATATAAACTAATTTTGTATGAATTATAGACCACAACAGATTTCCGTTCCATCATATGTGGTTGAACAGACTGTACAACCAATGACCACTACTAAAACCACCACTTCCACTAGTAGCCATAATGGAACACAATATGATCCAGCTTTTTATAGTATTTATGATGACGATTCTGAAATCTACAAAGATGTTGGTTAGTTTATTAATGTTTCTCATAAATTATATATTTTATAAAATGAATTTTGAGGTTCAATTATTATCATCGCTATTAAAACAAAAATATTTATAGATTATGGTCAGTTTACCTTATCATCAGTAAACAATAATAACAATAGATTAAAACCTCAGCATCAACCACAGCTTCAGTCTCAGCCACAACTTCAGCTTCAGTCTCAACCTCAACAAGATACATTTAGAGTCCCGGCACCTTTGCAACAACCCACACAAAGATACCAAGCGAATACATATGTACCAGAATATAACCTTAAGGCAAATATTAATTTATATTGAACTATATTCTTAGATCAGTATTTATTTTATAAATTAAATATTTAAATATTAAGTAAGGTACTATTATAAAATATATAATGGTACATAATTAAAAATTAATACCACAAATAAATTAACGTTATACACTTATACTTACCACATTGAACTTCAATATTTCAAAATAATTATTCCGTATTCTTAATGTTAATTATGACGACTGATTAAACTGTTTACAGATCACTGAAGAAGAAGCTCAACGAGAGCAACAGACCAAAGCAACCTACAGGTGAGAAACCATTTTTTTTTCATTTCAATTTCGCTTATGGTTAGGTAATTACAATGTTGGTTAGATAAGTGGCTAAACAAATTATTATTATTTTATTATACATAAATATAATCACAGAACTTCAATGAGATGTAAATAAGGCGGTGTGGATTTATTATTATGTTAAAATAATATATATATAATGTATAAATTAGTGGGCGTATGGTGTGTTTGTACTATATAGTGTTGATGCAAATTAAAATTAAAACAAAAAATGATAATTTTATAACTAAAAAATGTGTAAATATGATTATAATATGACTATGGTTATAAATTGGAATAGATTTTATATTTTCTAAAACGAGTCTAAACTTCAATAATATTGACCTAATGATCTTTGAATTCAGATTCGTCATAACTTTTAGAATAGGTACAATATAATAACAAAATTATTTATTAAAATTATWTACTCTTTCACTGCCTTATTTACATAACATACAATGACTAAACTTAATAACATTACTTCTAATTTTATTTGTACATACCTACTCTTAATATTGTACATATAATTTTAATCAGGTCAACAGTCGTCGGTGTAAGTCCCTTCGTACCGGACCGCTCAAAGATTAAATTCCCCGTGCAGACATCAACTCCTTCAAGGTTTACATTTCCTATATCAACATCCATACCATCCACATTACCTTCAACTACTCTTTCAACAATTTTCTCTTACCAATCAACCCCTTCATTATTTTTACGACCCCCATCGCCTCAGGGAAACTATTTCTGGACAACCATGTCTACTACTCAAAAATCAAAACCTACACCCCCAGACTTTAGAATAATCGTAGATCCTTACAACACCACACAATATGATGTAACCACACATCGTGGTACTGTTAAGACAACACCGTTCAAAGTTAGAACCACCCAAGCTCCAACTACCACTTCCACCACACCAAGTACAACTAGTACAACATCAACAACTACTACTCGATCGGTGGATTTCGATCAAGAGTACGATGTTGTAGTTGAAGATGAGGGAACGGGCTATATTGATGATAATTCAGTAGAAAAAACTAGTACAACGTCCTCAACTACTATAGCCCCACTTAGGTCGTCAGAATTAAAAAATACTAATGATTATTCAAGAGTCAAGAGCGGTCCGAGTATTCAGCCAGTCACGGTGCCAGCACCCACAAGCAAAACAGTAACAGAATGCCGAGAGTGCAACGAAAAACCATCAAGGTACGGAGGATTATTGAGGGTCAATACATATCAGATTTTATCAGAAATAACTCATAAATTCAAATATTTATTTTTGCTAGCTACTATAAAAATTCCAAAAATAGATTTTTATACCCGCAAACAAATCTCGATGTATAATGGATATGTACAGTTTTGTTAGGTGCAATTAAAAACATTATTGGAAAAACGTATTTTGAGTAAAAGTGATGGTATTATTTTATCGTTTTATTGTAAATTRCACTATTCATGACAGTTGTGTTATTAGTTTATGAATTTATTGTCAATTAATTAGCAACTCTTGAAAAAACGATATTATATTCGGCTAATAGTTCAAATAAATTAGGTAATTCGTTGGTTTCTCATATAACATAGTAACTATAAACAAATCATTCTTTTCTCAAGATGAGTTAAAAACTAAAAGAAAATATAAAAAATTACTTATTATGTACACGTATASTATCGAATAAATAAAATAAATTTTAGTTCTTAAATTTAAAATAAATTATATTATTTTTTAAATATACTGTGATATAATAACTAAAAACGTCATTAAAATATACCTATTATCTTCTAACCCTTAAGGGGATTGGAAGCGGTGATTTTCTGTCTTTKTCTAACACACGTGAGACATACAATGATACAATACGCCTGACAAAAATTAAGGTACTTCTAGTTGTTCGATTTAAAATATGTAAGGTTATGTTAATTGATATACATGTTTACTTTGCATCGGTCGAAGCACTTTTTCAATTGTAGCAATATTTAGATAAGAATAAATATTTTTAATTTTATAAATTTGTCAATTTTTTTTTATTAAATATATTAAAAATATTAAAAATATGCCTCGACCGATGCAAAGTAAATTTGTATACCAATTCAAAAATCTTTACATATTTTAAATCGAGCAACTAGAAGTACTTTAATTTTTATCAGGCGTATTGTATGTTTCACGTATGTTAGACAAAGACAGAAAATCACCGCTTCCAATCCCCTTAACTTCAAATAATATTWAAATGGTAAAATKAATAAAAATTAAATAAAGTTTTGATATTGATAGTAAATTTCTGAATAACTACAATAGGTACAGTATAAGTCACATTTCAAGAAACTTATGAATATTATTATAATATTGATTTTAACATTTCAGATAAAAAAAATTGTATTGTAATACTACCTAATCCATCTCTTACTTGTCAAACCCGCTATTGAATTACTTGTTACATAGTCAGACAATTATTTTTAAAATATCAAGTTAAAAAGCCAAGTTTATATTATAAAATTTGTTRTGCAGAAGTGTTTTACATGGGTTAATGATTAACCTTTTTGTTTTTCATTTATTTAAAACCTACCAAATTTTAATGCAGTGTCTAWAGTTGTKTTATCCATAATTATTATAACCTAATACCTAAATATTGTAGCATACAATTAATTGAAATTTTGAAGATAATTTTATTCATAACAACTATGTATCAAATTAACTATAGTTTTAGTTTTGGCAATATTTTTACMGGCATCAATTTTGAAATGCTCATCAAATTATTATTTTAATATGTGAATAACTTAATATGAAATCAATTTGATAAATTTACTGATATGCAATGACTTGTATTGACTTTAAATAATAATTGTCAAAACTTACATGCTGCAAACTACAATAGCGAGTTTTGATTGGTGGAGGAAACTATAAGCTTTTCGTCTTTTTTTGAATTTCCTATATTTTATTGTGGTTTTTTGTTGCACTCCATATTTTTTAATGATCAAAATATAACCCTGCACTCTATAAATGCTTTTTGATAAAAATATTTTTTAAAAGTGTTTGCATTCATAAGCTTTGACGCATARGATTGTAGAAACAGTTCCTACTAAAATTACGAAATAGCACCGCATATATGGTCACTAATTGTATTTTAACTTAAAGGCATTTGATAATTTTAATTACATGTGTGTGTATTTAACAGAGGCAGAGTGCGAGGAGGTGCAACATATACGACAGCAAGCAGTAATGATATCGATAGAGGAACTCCTGCAGTTGGGTATGTTAAACTTGACTGTCATTTGTCTTTACTATTAACTTAATAGACTTTGTATACACGTATTATTTAATGAATTAATCTTAACAGGAGAACAAGACCGACATTAAAGCCATCCACATCCATTGTCAGTAAGGCTTCAGAGTTTGTAGATGTATACAAATACGCACCTTCACGGTAATATATTTGATACAAACTAACGGTCCAAATTTATTATTTACATTCTAACATTTAATTACAGGCCTGATCCAATCTATCCGACACCGCAACCCGATAAAACTGCTGCAAAATGTCGGAAGGACGTTTGTCAACTACCAGACTGTAGTTGTGGTGGCAAAGAAATACCGGGTAAGATTTCACATTTGAAAATGATTGCCTATAAATGTATAAAAACTACTCTAATTATGGTATACAATATTTATTAGGTGATTTGGCACCAGAAGAAACTCCGCAAATTGTCTTATTAACTTTTGATGATTCGGTTAACGATCTCAACAAAGGACTTTACACCGATCTATTTGAAAAAGGCAGAGTAAATCCCAATGGCTGCCCGATAAGTGCTACTTTTTACGTATCACATGAGTGGACAGATTACAGCCAAGTACAAAATTTATATGCTAGTGGTCACGAAATTGCCTCGCATTCAGTTTCGCATAGTTTTGGAGAACAATTTTCGCAAAAGAAATGGACAAAAGAAATTGTCGGGCAAAGAGAAATACTATCCGCTTACGGTGGGGTCAGACAAGAAGACATACGAGGAATGAGAGCACCATTTTTAGCTGTACGTCAAAGCAAAATAATTACTATACGTTTAAGTTACATAAATGGACTTTATCATGCTGAATTTTAATTATAGGTGGGAGGTAATAAAATGTTCAAAATGTTGTATGACAGCAACTTTACTTATGATTCTTCTATGCCAATTTACGAAAACAAACCACCTAGCTGGCCATATACACTTGATTATAAATTATTTCATGACTGTATGATACCACCATGTCCAACCAGATCGTACCCAGGTAAAATAAAATTATATAGTRAAAATTATAATCAAACAATAAAAAACATCATATTATAGGAGTATGGGAAGTCCCTATGGTTATGTGGCAAGATTTGAACGGAGGCAGATGTTCAATGGGAGACGCTTGCAGTAATCCATCAGATGCAGATGGAGTACAAAAAATGTTAATGAAGAACTTTGACAGACATTTTACTAGTAACAGGTAAAGTTATCTTAAAAGTTTAGATTATAATGCAYGTCACAGCATTTCACTAAAATTTGAAAACCCATTTGAAAAAATTCCATATATAYCACCAAATCCTTATTCTTAAATAATAGCCAGGGTAAATATAGGAAATTAAAATATTTGGCTTCAGAATAGTAATTTCATTTTGCGAATACGATCTGCTATTAAATACTGTAGGTATTAAATTTATATTAAATTTCCTACCAATCTACCTTCATAAAAACTATAGTAAAATAATAATTATTAAATATTATTTATTAATTACTAAATACTACCTTGTAGTTTATAGTACTAGTAAAATTAAAAATAATTATAACGTATATTTTATATTAATTATTTGATCAGCTRAAATTTAATGTCACACTTAAATTAAATTAATTTCTTATATATTATACAAAAGTGCTAAGATTTATAAATTTGCAATAAATTAAACCATTAATATTCTATTATGATTTAAATAAACGTGATACTTACATTATTAGTTTCGTGTTATAGGGCTCCATTTGGACTGTTTTACCATGCGGCTTGGTTTACACAACCTCACCACAAAGAGGGCTTCATCAAATTTTTAGACAATATCGTCAGCATGCCTGAAGTTTGGATCGTCACCAATTGGCAAGCCATTCAATGGGTGAGAGATCCCACATCAATCTCAAGATTACAGTCATTCACACCATTCCACTGTGACTTGTCGGTAAGCATGAAACACTTTATCTTGMATTTGATAAATCATCTATTAAACTAAATTAGTAAAAGTTGATTTAATTATGCATTCAAAGTGTATTATTCTATGAATGGGTACATAAAAAAATTATTAATGAACTATTTGGTGTATCCGTACTCCGTAGAYTATAAATAATTCTAGTTTAAGAGTTAATGTGTTATCTTCTATTAATAAATAGACCATACATGATTTAGGACACTTAGGTACTATTACTTGTGTATTAAATKAACTTATAATACCTACATTATAATACCTATTATAAAGATTAAATAATTATTTATTGATTGTATTTTTAATACTTTTTATTCTTATAATCTAAAAGGAGAGGCCAAAGAAGTGTAACAATCCAAAAGTGTGCAACCTATGGCACAAGTCAGGCGTCAGGTATATGCGTACCTGTCAGCCATGTCCAGACATATATCCATGGACGGGAAAGTCTGGAATCAGAAGTAGTCGGATTGACGACGGTAGTGAATAAACAATCATCATCAATAGGCCAAAACGATTTAGATTTATTATTATTATTATTATTATTATTATTACTATCATTATTATTTTTATTACTATTGTCAATATGAATTATGAAAAACTATAAACATGTGACCACTTTTTCACATCGCATTTTGGCACGACGTTGAAAAACTGATTACATGTACAACATGCAACATACATATTATGCTCAATACGACAGTATATTAAATATTAATCGCTTTAAAAAATATAATTTATTACAATTTCAATCTTGTTTACAATTYTGTTTCGCAGTATGATAGTCTCTATAGAAATTATAATTCTCAATCCTTAAACAATCGAATAAATATCGTATGCGACCTATTATAGGTATTTGTATTATTGTTTTTACTTATAAATTATAAGTATAAGTTTTATACAATAAGTATAAATTTAAATATATATTATATATATTATGTATATGTATATATTATTATAATAAAAATTAATTTTGTATAGTTATATTTTGTAATTATTTGTAAAGTTCCTAAACCAAAAATTATGTCTATCAAAATATATACCTATGTAGGGAGTTTCAAATAATATAATATWATTTTATTTTTTTCAAAACTATTGGCACTTTAAGTCTTAATCCAGAGCCTGGTACGACCATAATAATTATGTTCTACTTTGAAATGTATGATGGGGGCTRAGGCTATAGTGATTTAAAAATGCTAGTGATTACTGATTAGTATTAATTTATTAACATTAAACATTAGTAAAATGGCCAAAATATATTTATATTTTAAAAAGTTTTATTCAATATTACGTATATTTTTTATTTTTATAAAACCATTTTTTAAGACTTCCATATTACAAACATTTTAATAATTTCAACAACAATAATAATAGTTTTATTATTCTAAAATTCGTTTATAATGCTGTCTCTATAGTTTTATTTCTCTAAGAATAATTGAGAAACTACTCATTCGAATTTCAAATAGTTAGAAGGTATCCAGCGCTGAGTAAACTGTCAAATGCATACAGTATCCATATCCTCAAATAGTCAAATCGGTAAATCATCAACTCTAAAATTCGTTGATTCGACAATTTAAAGTTACAGTTATTATTAAAATCTGTGTATGTAAAAAATAAATAGTTTGGAAAGTTTGGCATATTGTTTTATGTACCTTAAGCGTAAGAGTCACTTTCTTTTTCAACTTGGTGTTTTACTACCTATCATCTGGGAATAAATTGTGAATTTATAAACAATTTACTGTAGATTTTTCATCTACGGTTATCATATAAAACTCAGATTCACTCATTTTAATGTTTGTATATTTTTTTAAATTGTATAGGCTTTTCACCACGTACACAGTATACACCCTGGCTTCCAACGAAAATTTTAAAGTTTAAACCACGATTTAAGATATACAGGTTGCCCATCGACCTATACCGAAATGTTTAAAAGTATGAAGATGAGATTGACTCACAACTGTGGAAAACGACGCTAGCGTCCTCTACTATCACAATTTAAA